AGCCTCCTGAGTAGCTGGGACTATAGGCGCCTGCCACCACGCCTGGCTAATTTTTTGGATTTTTAGTAGAGATGGGGTTTCACCGTGTTAACCAGGATGGTCTCAATCTGCTGAACTTGTGATCCACCCACCGAAGGAAGGAAGGAAGGAAGGAAGGAAGGAAGGAAGGAAGGAAGGAAGGAAACAAACCAAACAAAAAAAATATGCAACACAGGACCTGGAAGATAATTGAAAATCCATGTATTTTGTACCAGTATTCAAAAAAGCCAAAAGGCTGAACCACCCAGATATCTCTTGATTTATAAACACATCAAAAAATGTAACATATACATACAATGGAATATTATTCCACTTTAAAAAGAACAATCTTATCACATTTTAAGATGAACATTGAGAATATTATGTCACCTGAATTAATCCAGTAACAAAATTATGGATATTGTATGATTCCACTTATATGAGATATCTTAAGTAGTCAAAATCATGAAATCAGAAAATGGAAGGTTTGTCTGTCAAGGGCTGGAGAGAGGCTAAAATGAGCAGTTGGCACTTAATGGGCATTGAGTTTTAGTTTTACAAGATGTAAAGTTTCTAGAAGTATTTTGCATAACAAAGCGAATATAATTAACATGCCTAAAATGAACAGCTTTTCTTTTGAGACAGGGTCTCACTCTGTCACCCAAGCTAAAGTGTAGTGGCACAATTTTGACTCCCCCTCAATCTCCCAAGTAGTTGGAACCACAGCTGCAAACCACCATGCCTGGCTATTATTACATTTTTTTTTATAGTGGAGAGTCTCCATATGCTCCCCAGGCTGTTTGAGCTTCAGGGATCCTCCTGTCTTGGCCTCCCAAAATCCTAGGATTACAGATCCAAGCCACCACCATGCCTGGCCCTGAAATGTAAACTTCAATAGATTTAAGATGGTGAATTTTATGTTATGTGTTTTTAAGACAATTTTTTTAAAGAAAAACTGAGAAAAAACCAGAATTACATATTGTTTTGAAAATTACCTTCAAATCACAAAAGTGTTTCTCTCACAAAAGTAAATATATGTTAATAATTAAACACATGGTAAAAATAAGACTATCTCCATGAGTACTCACTTAGACAAGATAAAACTACCATGGAAAATAAGCTAAGAAAGAATATAAGATAAGCCATAACTAAAATTTGGGTCATATTTATAGATAAACAGACATACATACGTAATCTAATTGTGACAGACATGCATAATTTATCTCTTAAACCTCAAATTGACTTAAAATGTACAAGCAGAATTGCAAATTATCTAAAATTATAATACATTAAGTAAAACCAAAACACCCAATAAACTAATGTTAAGAAACCTACACTGAGGACAGGCACAGTGGATCACAACTGTAATCCCAGCACTTTGGGAGGCTGAGGCACGCAAATCACGAGGTCAGCAGTTCCAGACCAGACTGGCCAATATCGTGAAACCCCGTCTCTGCTAAAAATGCAAAAATTAGCCAGGCGTGGTGGCACACACTAGTAGTCCCAGCTACTCAGGAGGTCAAGGCAGAAGAATAGCTTGAGCCCTTGAGGAAGAGGTTGCAGTGAGCCAAGATTACACCACTGCACTCCAGCCTGGGTGACAGAGCAAGACTCTGTCTCAAAAAAAAAAGAAAAAAAAGAAAAAAACCCTACACGGAAAAAGCACACTAATATAAAACTTCAAAACAATAATAAAAGAAATGTTTACTCATAAAACCTAGTATGCAACATTAATGTATCATTAAAAAAATTATCAGGCTGTGTGCGGTGGCTCACAACTAGACCAGTTTGGCCAACTTGGAAAAGCCCCATCTCTACTAAAAATACAAAAATTAGCCAGGAGTGGTGACACATGCCTGTAACTCCAGCACCTGAGAGACTGAGGCATGAGAATTGCTTGAACCCAGAAGGCGGAAGTTGCAGTGTGCCACGATCACACCACTGCACCCCACAGGCTGGGTGACAGAGCATGACTCCATCTCAAAAAAAAATAGTTTCTAGATAACTGAAATATTTAACTGCTAGTGTGTACTCACTAACTGCAGGTATTTTGAATCATTGGCATGCACTGTGTGGCAGTAAAATTTTGGAGAATATGCGGTATAAACAGAAGATTCTAATGAGAAACTTTAAAAATTAGCATTTAAAAGAAACTAGAGTTACTTTTAATGTTTTAAATATATGGTACTCTTACACAAAATGAAACTGCTGTAATCCAACTTTAGAAGCAAAGAGTAGCCTTACATTGTTAAATTAAAAAATATATAATTTGCAGAATAGGGTTAGGCCCTCTGATACGTAAAACAAATATTGAGAAATAAACTACATTATTATTTATATATAGGCTAAAAAAGTAAATGAAAATCCTTTAATTCCTTTTTGCCTGCAGCAAACTTAAATTTATAAGCAAATATTTTAGTAAATATGAGTCCCTATGAATTATCTAATTTACTTCAGGCACACCATGCAAATTCTAACATATTGTCCCAAATATTTGAATCAAAATTTACAGACTAATCTGAAAGAGAAAATAGAAAGTAAAAATGTATAGGGAAAGTGACATCAGTAAGAGGAAAAGATTAAAATTCCCTATTTTCATATTCCCTTACAGCAAAAAAAGTCAGCCCTCTCTGACAAAAATGCTTTTATGAGAGAACCAGGCATTATAGCTCACATCTGTAATGACAGCTACATGGTACATTAAGGTTGGAGAACTGCTTCAGGCCAGGATTTTGAGAATAGCCTGGGTTATGTAGCAAGACACCATCTCCAAAACAAGCACCGCTAAGAGAGATTTGAGATCCAGGGAGGGAGTTGTGAAATCTTGCTAAAGCTTAAGATTGAGAAGTGTTCTATTCAGAAGGTAGGCCCTTAGTCAGGTGAAAAACTACAGGACCCCCATTCATGGCTATGCACCAGGATAGGGTTCACCCAACTTGGTCCCATGAGAATTCTGAACTTACTCTGTAACCAACCCAAACTCCTCCCAGCCACAGTCTGGTAGAGGTCCTGCCATTCCAGAGACCTGGAGGAAGGCACCCATTTACAACAATGTAGGCAGGCCTGCAGACCGTGGCCTTTACTGAGGTCCCTGAAGCAGTTCTATGACAGTTTCAGTTACCTGAGCCACAGTTTATGGTCAGTTCTGCCCACATAGAAATCCACGCAATTGGGCAGGGTGTGGTGCCTGTAATTCCAGCACTTTGGAGGACTGAGGTGGGTGGATAGCCTGAGGTCAGGAGTTCAAGACCAGCGTGACCAAAATGGAGAAACCCCTTCTCTACTAAAAATACAAAATTACCAGGCGTGGTGGTGCATGCCTGTATTTGCAGCTACTTGGGAGGCTGAGGCAGGAGAATCACTGGAACCCAGGAGGCAGAGGTTGTGGTGAGACAAGATCACACCATTGCACCCCATCTTGGGCAACAGGAGCAAAACTACATCTCAAAAAGAAAAGAAATGAAAACAAAACAAAACAAAAAAGAAACCCACACCGTTCTCTGAGGAAATGCTTCTAAAATCAGTTTATGAAAACTTGAAGAGGTGTTTGCTCCATCAAATTCAGACACCAATACAAAACTATATTGTGCCCACTGTCAATGCTTCTCTTTGAATGTAGTACTGGAAGTATGTGGCGGAAGAATTATTCACAGAAATAAAAAAATCCAGCCAGGTGCAGTGGCTCATGGCTGTAATCCCAAGATTTTGGGAGGCAGAGGCAGGCATATCATCTGAAGTCAGGGGTTGGAGACCAGCCTTGCCAACAGCGTGAAACCCCATCTCTACCAAAAAAATACAAAAAATTACTTGGGTGTTATAGTGAGTACCTGTAATCCCAGCTACTCAGGAGGCTAAGGCAGGAGAACCGCTTGAACCCAGGAGGCGAAGGTTGCAGTGAGTCAAAGTCACACCACTGCACTTTAGCCTGGGCAAAAAGAGTGAAATCCCCTCTCAAAAGAAAAAAAAAAAAAAAATCCATTGAAATTGAATAAAAATAAGTCAAAAGTTGCTGTTCGTTGATCACACAATCTTATATTTAAAAAATCATAAACAGTACATTAAAACCTGTCTAAACTAATAAATACACTCAGTAAATTAGCAAAATACAAAATTAAGCACACAAGTATACGTATGGTTTCTTACACTTAAAGTATCTGATGAGGAAGAAAAATTCTTATTTAATGTAGCATTAAATAAATTTCTGAGAAAAAATTAACTAAGGAGGTAAAAAAAGTTTACAATAAAAGTTAGAAAATCAAAATTAATTTTAAAATATTTTATGTCTATGGATTGAAAGAATAAATGTTATTAAAGTGTCATATTATCCAAAGTGATCTATAGATTCAATAGTCTTCCTATCAAAATTGCAGTGTTTTTTTTTTTTTTTAAAGTAATGGAAAATACAATTATAAAGTTTACATGAAACTAAAATAAATTTCAAATAGTCAAAGCAATTTTAAGGAAAAAGAACAAAGCAGGATATCATACTTACAATTTCAAACTATATTTCAAGACTGTATAGTAATAAAAATAGAATGGACCGTGCACAAAAATGGACAAAAAAATGCAACAGAAACTACTACTCTCATGCATTTCAGACCTGATGCAAAAATAGATCTAAAAAATAGTTTTAGTTTCTCAAAATAAGTCAGATATTTGTGTGTCCCCAAAACAATGAAAAATCAGCCAGATCGTGCAGTCTCTTATATGCCATGAAGACGACTTTGGCTCTCACTGTGAACAAGAAGGAGGCTCACCAAAAGAAAAGGAGAATTTTTAGAGAATTTAAAAGCATAAGACAATATGCCCCTTTGTGAGAGCAAAATTTAAAAAAGAAAAAAAAGAAAAAAAAAAAAAACCAGCTGTCCAGGAAGTTCCTTTGGAACACAGCTTCCCGAATCACACCTTAAGAACTGGCTTTCTCTTTGACCTTGGGCCTCTTATCCGTGTTGTCTGTTGTATTCACTTTCATTCGCACCTACCTGGGGGCTTGCCTACCATCTCATGTCTCTTCATAGTCAAAGGTTTTTTTCCTTGCTCCAGACGGGTGATGAGGTCTGGCTTTGAGACAATAATACCTGTTTTATTAAAAATAAATAACATGAATCTTGCGCATATTCTCCAATTACAAGCTAGTAATGTGCTCAGGAAAGATGATGTGATAAAATATTTTAGTAAATTAATACCAAAATACAAATTTGTAACAGAAATTTCTAAATATTTAGAAAATACTTTCAATTCGCCTGGTGCGGTGGCTCTCGCCTGTAATCCCAGCATCTTGGGAGGCCGAGGCGGGCGGGTCATGAGGGCAGGAGTTCAAGACCAGCCTGGCCAGCATGGTGAAACCCCATCTCTACTAAAAATACAAAAATTAGCCGAGCATGGTGATGTGCGCCTGTAGTCCCAGGTACTCAGGGGGCTGAGGCTGAAGAATTGCTTGAACCTGGGAGGTGGATGTTGCAGTAAGCCCAGATTGCACCACTGCATTCCAGCTTGGGTGACAGAGCGAGACTCTGTCTCAAAAAAAAAAAAAAACCTTCAATTTGTAGGTTTCCTAATTTTACTACCTGGTACTACTGAATCAAAAATTGGTGGCGACAATTAGATTTTCAGGTGGAAGCTACAATATTTTATGTCAGTAAATTTCTGGAATTACCACTAATTTAGAGTGAAGAATATAACTCAATTCAGAAATGTGGAAAGTTTGTATTAAGATGAAATATCTTGAAGAAATTTTTTTATTTTCTTTCTTTCTTTTTCTTTTTCTTCCTCAAGACAGAATCTTGCTCTGTCACCAGGCTGCAGTGCAATGGCATGATCTCGACTCACTGCAACCTTCATCTCCTAAGTTCAAGCGATTCTCCTGCCTCACCCTCCTGAGTAGCTGGGATTACAGGTGCGTGCCACAGCCCACAACTAATTTTTTGTACTTTTATTAGAGAGACGGTGTTTCACCATGTGGGCCAGGCTGGTCTCGAACTCCTGCCCTCAGGTAATCCCCCAGCCTCACCCTCCCAAATTGCTGGGATTACAGGCATGAGGCACTGAAGTAATTCTTTTCTAAATGAACAAATTTGGAAGATTTTCTTGAAAAACTGGATCTGAAACTCTTTTATGAAAAGAATAAATTACTAAAAAACATTCCACAAAAAAGAGAAATAAAACATTTTGTGTATATTATGAATTATGTATTAAAGTTTTTCTCACCAAGAAAGACCAGGTTTCTGTAGTTCTCTAACATCACATCCCTATATAAATTCCGCTGTGCAGTGTCCAGGCAATGCCACTCCTCCAGAGAGAATTCTATGGCCACATCTCTAAATTGCAATGGCCCCTGAAACACACACATGCACACATTTTCACCGAGTGATTATGGGTAGAATTTTTAATTTGACTTAAGGTGAAATGAGAGAGTGAATACAACTGGTTCTGACTTACAGGATTGATTAAAATTATCCAATAAAATAATTTTCAACACAGAAATATTCTCTAAAGTATTCTGCAACTCTGAGAAAAAAGAGGAGCATAAGATCCACATCAGTTCATGTATTTTTATAGATAATAAAGTATAAAATTAAGGGCATGAACACAAACATGTACATTTTTGAATGCATATTTATATCATATGGAATGAGTTGTGAATATTTTTCAGATGAGAAATACATGTTGAGTTAGAAGGCACCTCTCAAATTTTAGTATGTATAATAAGGTGAAGACCCTTTTTTCCAGAAGATCTGGAATAAAGTCTGATTTTTTTTGAATTCTAACAAGCTCACCAATAATGTCAATGTTTTTGGCCCAAGAAGGATATTTTGTCAGATATCCAGTAAGCGGAAGAGTCTGGGTTTTTTCCAGTTTTTCTGGCCTGTAAACAAAGATAAGAGCCTTCATTTTCCAAAGAAAAATACGAAGAAAAAAAAGAAAAAAGAACAGCTGCCAGATTAAATATGACTGTTTATGCACATCAGCTGCATAATGAAACTTAATAATGAAGAGAAAAATAATTAGCTATATAGTAAAAAAAAAAAAAATCGTCAGAGAGCTATTTAAGCAAGTGAATCATTAACCATTAACTGCACTAGGAGAAATTTTCATGATGTCCTAATGCACACAGAAGAACACAGTATCACTGTTGAAATATTTCTTCTTTAAAAAAGCAAATAAAATCTGAATTTAATCAAAAAGAATCATCAGTTTTATGCAAACCTCAAAATGCAGACACCATCTATGTTCTGTAGTTTCTAGTAGTAATTTTAAGTAGGCTTCATTTAGCACCCTAGAGGGTAGGTATCTCCTAACAATTTTTTTCAGAATTTCTCATAATAAATGCCATCACATTTAAATGAGCAATTTTTTTTTTTTTGAGACGAAGTCTCACTCTTGTCCCCTAGGCTGGAGTGCAATGGCATGATCTCAGTTCACTGCAACCTCACCTCCTTGGTTCAAGTAGTTCTCCTGCCTCAGCCTCCCAAGTAGCTGGGATTACAGGCACCTGCCATCACACCAGGCTAATTTTTGTATTTTTAGTACAGATGGGGTTCCACCATGTTGGCCAGGTTGGTATCGAACTCCTGACTTCAGGTGATCTGCCTGCCTGGACTGGGATTACAGGCGTGAGCCACCGCACCCGACCTAAATAAGCAATTTCTTAATCCTGTTCGGCATACAGCTAACAGAATACACGAATGGAGCCTCAACATTATATTTTCTCCACCTTTTACTAAGGACCACAGTTTTCCCCAGTAGAAATGCTGAGTATCCACATCTTTCCGTGTTCAACAGCCACAAAGGGAACATTTTTAATATTGCAGATCATAAATTCTTGTTGATAAATCTGCATGGCATATAAGAAGTTATTCTGTACAGAATGTAGAGAAGGCTCTGGGATACAGGAAAGAAATACTTTTCAGAGACCCTTGACTATCATAAGAATTTTAAGAAGTGCTTAAACCAAACTCCTTAGGGAGGAAAAACACAAATAGAGAAGTAAAGGTTTTCAAGTACTAAATGCATGGCATTCCAGGAGGCAGAGTGGACACAGCTTTCAGCTGAGGCATGTTTACCTGAAGAAAATCCTTTTTTTTTTTCCTATCTCCTCCTTCTATGGAATTCCTTCTCAGACGAGATTCTCTGGACAAATTACAACTGCGTCTTGAGAATATGCCTTTAAAGGTGTCAGTACCACATGTTTATCTGCTAGCATGACAGAATAACAAAAATATCCACCCATTTCTGTCCTTTAAAACAGAAGAGATTCAGGAACAATGAGCTGCTCCATGAAGATGAAAATATAAGTTTCTCCTTTCCTGTCCTCAGGTGCCCTCCCCTGCCACAAACACTAGCAATTTCTGCTACAGTAATGGAAATACGCATGAACTACCAGTCCCTTCCAAATCCAAACAGAATAGGCCCTATGACCACCTTTTAGTGCAAAGGTGGAACTTAACTCTCATGAATGTATTTTGAAGCCTTCATACTTGATTCTGGCCTCATCTTAGAGTCACAGGAGGCCCTTCATTAAAACAGCGTGGATGCTTCCACCCAGAACAATAAACAGAACCTGTGGGGAGGGCACAACACATTTCTGCAAATTGACCATGTGATCCTAATAAGAAGCCTGGGCTGATAATCAATAAGCTAAGCATTGCCTCTCAAGCTTTAATGAGCTTATAAATCACTTGATAATTTTGGCTCCACTTTATGTAATGTAATTCTGCAGGTTTGAAAAGGGTCCATGAATGGGTGTTTTAAACAAGCCCCCGTCAATGCTCATGTTGCTTCCCCTTGATGCATTATTAACATTAGAGTTTAAATGTTCTATTAAACCCAGTGCTTGCAGAGCCATTGTATTTAGAATCTTGTTTTCCATTCCTGCAGATCCAGTAGTTGCTCCATAAGTCACAAAAAAGTAAATATAAACAGAATAAAATTTTGTCTAAACCACATTAACCTTTCTTCCTGTATCTCTTTCATCTGTCTATATTTAGCTTTTATTCTGTACAATTTTTTAAAAAATTGATGACAGAGGAACAGAAGAAGACATAAAGATGCTGGGCCCTTTTTCTAAATCCTGGAAATTATTAAACCCAGCACAGCACAGGATCCCTTAGGCTTAGCACTCTTGTCACAACCAAATACTTCTGGTACAAACAAGGACAACCCATCTCCATCCTAAAGTTTTATATTCTTTGCTAGCTCTTTAAAGTTTACAGAGGAAACAGAAGGCAGCAATGTCTGAGTAGGTCTGTATTTTAAAAACACCATGTACACATGTACTAATGCAATGTTTATTAAGTAGGTACTATGTGCTCAAGAGTGTGATACACAGCACTGTGCTGGACATAATACATTATGTGATTTAATTCTCATAACACCCTGGGAGTTGGTACTAAGGGTTTAATAATTTCCAGGATTTAGAAAAAGGGCCCAGCATCTTTATTTCTTCTTCTGTTCCTCTGTCATCAATTTTTTTTAAAATTGTACAGAATAAAAGCTAAATATAGACAGATGAAAGAGATACAGGAAGAAAGGTTAATGTAGTTTAGACAAAATTTTATTCTCTTTATATTTACTTTTCTGTGACTTATGGAGCAACTACTGGATCCGCAGGAATGGAAAACAAGATTCTAAATACAATGTCTCTGCAAGCACTGGTTTTAATAGAACATTTAAAATCTAAGACCCTAAAGTACATACTTTATTTATCCCACTTACCTGCTTTTGGGTTTCAGGAAATTGTGAGCACCAGCTCTAGAAAGACAGCAGGATTCACAGCCAAAACTCTGATCTCTTGTAATCAGTTCTCTGAGGCAAGACTCCAAGGTACGGTCAGACCAAAATAAGGCCTCCAAAAAGGGTGAATCTGAACAGGTCTGGGGCAGGGTGGGGTCACTATGTAGAATTCTGCTCTCTATGCCCCTGTAGTACCACCAGTTTTGTTTTTTCAAAGGTTACCTAAAAAAAAACCTTAAATCCCAGAGTTTCTATAATTTTAATATTTTCTAGCCACTGCCCTGTCAACTTTGTGCTACATACTAATATGCAATTTAAACAAATCCCTTAAGGTTTTCTAGGGGAATTTTTTTTTTTTTTTTTTTGAGATGGAGTCTCACTCTGTTGCACAGGCTGGAGTGCAGTGGTGCCATCTCAGCTCACTGCAACCTCTGCCTCCTGGGTTCAGGTGATTCTTCTGCCTCAGCCTCCCTAGTAGCTGAAACTACAGGTGCACACCACCATGCCCGGCTAATTTTTGTATTACTAGTAGAGACGGCATTTCACCACATTGGCCAGGCTGGTCTGGAACTCCTGACCTTATTGTCTAACATTTGAATTCTGATGCCACCCAGAGTCAACACAGACCCTGATTCAGGGCTCAGTCCCACCACACTGTCCTCACTGCAGATGCCAGTCAAAAAACCCATGGGTCCATCTATGCTTCTGAGCTACTGTTTAAAAACGTGGGACTCCCATAACCTCTCTGAATTTTAATAATTTGGTAGAGCTACTCACAGAACTCAGCAAAACACTAGTTATGTTTACCAGTTTAATATGTGAGATGCAGCCCAGGAAAAGCCAAATGGAAGAAATGCATAGAACAAACAAAAGAAATGGAGATGGATGAAACACATAGATAATCCTGGGAAATATTTGTGATTAATAAAATTCTCCATCCTTTGTGTGCTCCAGGAACAATTTATGGAAAGAAACACTATTCCCGTTATGACTAAGATAGTGCTCTCTTTTCTTACGTATCACACAGCAAGACACACACTCTGCACATTTTCTCCTTTTTCTCATTTAAAAAAAAATCAGCTGAATTTGTCTTCAGTGGTCAAAATAAAACATTTCTTCACATTGTCACCCAAGTTGGAGTGCAGTGATGCAATCTCAGCGAACAGCAACCTCCACCTCCTGAGTTCAAGCAATTCTCCTGCCTCTGCCCCTGAAGTAGCTGGGATTACAGATGCCCATCACCACACCTGGTGAATTTTTGTTTTTTTGGTTTTTTTGAGATGGAGTTTCACTCTTGTTGCCCAGGCTGGAGTGCTGGCACAATCTCGGCTCACCACAACCTTTACCTCCCGAGTTCAAGTGATTCTCCTGCCTCAGCCTCCCGAGTAGCTGGGATTACAGGCATGCACCACCATGCCCGGCTAATTTTGTATTTTTAGTACAGACGGGGTTTCACCATGTTGGCCAGGCTGGTCTCAAACACCTGACCTCAGGTGATCCGCCTGCCTCAGCCTCCCAGTAATTTTTGTATTTGTGGTAGAGACAAGATTTCACCATGTTGGCCAGGCTGGTCTCAAACACCTGACCTCAGGTGATCCGCCTGCCTCAGCCTCCCAAAGTGTTGAGATCACAGGCATGAGCCACTGGGCCTGGACTAAAATAAAATATTTCTTAATCAAACTTTACTTAAGTTTATTTCCCTCCCTGAACTTTGTGCTACCCTCAGTCTGAGTCAACATACAACCCCATTTTGCATCCTTCCTAAGAACATGCTGATTTCAGGGTAAGACATCCTCATCTAAAATCTGACTTTTTCACTCTCCATTTGCCATTCACCTCCCACCTCCTTTCTAACCATGTTCACTCCTCCCTAAAAAAGAAAGCCCTTTTCTGCCGAAATCTTTGCAAGCTATAAAGATCTTACACTTAGTTGGTACCTTCTCCTGTTGCAATTATTTTTTGGAATTCGTTTTTTTTAAATAAATCTAATGTTTTTATTTTACAAAGTATAGAAAGTGCCGCAAAACGTAACGACTTCATCATCACTAAGACCCTCTCAGTTTCCTTTCATCTTAACCTCAAAGGCATCTGCCTTTGGATCCCCAGCTTTCTAGGGCTCTATAGCTTCTCTCAGGATAAAGGCTCCTTCTATGGCTGGAGTGATTAGGCTGGGACATCTGCAGGGGAGGCTCCCCAGAAAAAACTGAGTATGTAATAACATCCAGTTGCAGGCTTAATATTAGCCTTAGCTTGGAGTCACTAGGTTCAAGCTTTAATTTCCATATCAGAATTAGTCACTTGGTTTTTGAAACCAAGTGTTTGAAAAATCCAGGGAAATTACTCAAACGCAGTGTTTACATAAGGGAAGGAAATTTTAAGGTTCTTACATTCTTTTTTTTTTTGAGATACAGTCTTGCTCCATGGCCCAGGCTAGAAAGATCTCAGCTCACTGCAACCTCCACCTCCTGGGTTCAAGACATTCTTGTGCCTCAGCCTCCCAAGTAGCTGGGAATACAGGCATACGCCACCATACCTGGCTAATTTTTGTATTTAGTAGAGATGGGGTTTCACCATGTTGGCAGGCTGGTCTCAAACTCCTGACCTCAAGTAATGAACCTGCCTAGGCCTCCCAAAGTGCTGAGATTACAGGCATGAGCCACTGCACCTGGCTAAGATGCTTGCATTTTATACCTCCATAAGAAAAACATATATATCTACTTATTTCAGACAATAAATGTATTATTTTATTATTTATCTTAAAAATAATGAAGTAGGCCGGGCATGGTGGCTCATGCCTGTAATCCCAACACTTTGGAAGGCCAAGGTGGGTGGATCACAAGGTCAGAAGATTGAGAACATTTTGGCCAACATGGTGAAACCCTGTCTTTACTAAAAATACAAAAAAATTGGCTGGGCGTGGTGGTGCACACCTGTAATCCCAGCTACTTCGGAGGCTGAGGCAGGAGAACTGCTTGAACCTGGGAGGCAGAGATTGTGTGAGCCGAGATCATGCCACTGCACTCCAACCTGGTGACAGAGTGAGATTCTGTTTCAAAAAAATAAGTAAATAAATAAAATAATGTAGTAAAAAATTAGTCATATGGGAACACTTCTAGAAGGTACCATGTTTCATCACTTATAATTTAGCATTTAACTCAGAACTCAAGAAAAAAGGATATAGAACTGAGATATTCACTGTCACAAATTTACCCTGCAAAAAGAGGAACTAATGTGTTGATGAATCTATGTAACTCATCAACTATCTACCACATTTTCCTGTGGAAATACATTCATTATCTACAGCCAAAATGGAAGAGAGATTTTCCCTATTTTTTTCCTTGGTAACTAGGATTCCTGGGAAACATGGTGAAACCTCATCTCTACTAAAAATACAAAAATTAGCTGGGAGTGGTGGCGCGTGCCTGTAGTCCCAACTACTCGAGTGGTTGAAGCAGGGGAATGGCTTGAACCCAAGAGGTGGAGGTTGCAGTGAGCCGAGATCTGACACTGCACTCTAACCTGGCGACAGAGCAAGACTCTGTCTCAAAAAAAAAATAATAATAATAATAATAATAATTAATTGAGGAACATGGGGTACACCTGAGGCCCTGCTTGGGACACATGTGAAAAATGCCAGGGAAAATCAGTCCCCTGTGGGATGTGAAAATAACTGAGTGGCAGGCAATTAGACTGAAGAGGCCCTAGTCCCCGGATTTCTATTTCTAAAAAAAAAAAAAAAAATCTAAGCTCAAGTGCATTTTTTGGTAAATTACTACATTGGGGAAACAAAATTCAGGCTTAAGCAACTATAAACTGCCAGTTAAGCTCAATTACATAACCAGGAAATTTCCACCTTGATTGTACAACTTAAGAAACTACATTACTAAACCTAATAAATTACTGAATTTGGTTTTCTTCCTCATGCATTTCACAAATGTCTCTTCTTCAAGCCCCTCCATGGACTACAAACTACAAACTGTAGCTGGGTGCTCTACAATTCTTGAATCACTCTGATTAAACTGTTTGATATTTTTGCAGTGACTCTCATAATTTTTTTTTTTTTTTAGACAGAGTCTTGCTCCGTCGCCCAGGCTGGAGTGAAAGAAATCACAGCTCACTGCAACCTCCGCCTCCCAGGTTCAAGCGATTCTCTCACTTCTGCCTCCCGAGAAGCTGGGACTACAGACATTCGCCATCACACCCAACTAATTTCTGTACTTTTAGTGGACAAGGGGTTTCCCCATTTTGGGTCAGTCTTGGTCTTCAACTCCTGACCTCAACTGATCCGCCCGCCTCGGCCGCACTTTGACCAAGCCCGGCCCCGTACAATTGTAAGCAGAAAAGAGAAACTGTGAACCCCACAGATCAAAGTTCTTCCCATTCACGAACCCGCACCGAGAGTCAGGATTCTTCCCTGACACCCTCCGGTGGTCCTTGCACAATCCGGGAGAGACGCGGCACTGCGGGTGCAGAGCTGCCCACAGAGCGCTCCAGGCCAGGGGCACAATCACTGCGCGGGGAAGCGACATGACGCCTGGGGCCAGGTTGTCAGCGTACCGCCATCTTATGGCTGAACGGGACTGAGGTGGAGCTGGGTAAGGAGAATTCGGGGTGCAGATTGTGGAGCTGACTGCGGGGAGGCCTGAGTACCGCCACAGCCTCTTCCCCTCTATCCGGACGCTGGACCGGCACTCTCACCATTTCTAGGCTTCCAGGGGGTCCCGGCGTCTTAGCTGTGGATCTTCCAATACCTGCAGGATACAGGGCCACACAGGCTGGGCCTCTAGGAGCAGAGGACACAGAGCAGTGAAGACCAGACCTGGAGCTCCAGCTGCAGCAAGAGACAAGGACCCCGCCAAATCCGGAAGCCGTCCTGTTCATTCCAGCTGCGTGCCCTATTGGTCGGTTTCCAGCCCAGCGTCCCTGATTGGATAATGCTTAAGGCCCCGCCCCCTCAGGCCCTGAGTGACAGAAGATGTGATCAGATGCTGGGCGGAGTGAAGAAAGAGTGACAGTCTAAGCTGCAGCCTTTTCAGGCAGGGTTTCCCTCCTGAGCTGAGCCAGGCTCACCCCAGAGTATGGGAAAATCCTATCTCTTCTTTACCCTCTCTTGTTGAATGTATTCAAAGGTGAACAGAAGTATTTTTGCTATCATATTAATAATACATAAAATTTTTGTTCAAGAAAAAATCAACTTTTACTTTGGTAATAGTGTATTAACTATTAAAGCTAATTTTAATAAAATCTTATAAATAAATCAAATATGTCATTTTTGACCACTCCAGATTTACATATATATTTTGTAATCCTTGTAATTTTTTTATCTATTTATATTTTATTTTTATCCACATTCTTTTTTTCAATTTGAAACAATCTTTAAGTAATTTCAAACTGCTATAGGAGGTAGAAAGAAATCATTTAGGGGCAGGCACAGGTAGCTCATGCCAGTAATCTCAACACTTTGGGAGGCTAAGATCACTTGAGGTCAGGAGTTCAAGACCAGCCTGGCCAATACGGTGAAACCCCATCTCTACTCATAATATAAAAAGTTAGCTGGGTGTGGTGGTGCACATCTGTAGTCCCAGCTACTCTGAAGGCTGAGGCAGGAGAATCACTTGAACCCATGAGGCGGAGGTTGTGTAATGGCCCAAGGGGTTCATTTTGCCCTTTGCCTAGACAGAGCCGATTCAGCAAGACAGGGAAATTTGTGGAGGAAAAGTTAAATGTTAAATTTGAACTCAATTGAACGTGGACACAAACAATTGCCACCAAGTCCCAGAACAGGTCCCGTGAGCCCCTGAGGTGTTCATCCAGCCCTGTATCAAAGAAATATCTATTTCAATCTATTCCTATACATTAGTTGTTGAAAAGCAATAGAAAATCACAAAAACAAGTTCACCTTTTTGTGTTCCTTGAGGCAAGTCATGAATGGCCCTCTTCACTGGGCCTTATGCCACACAACTCTTACAAAACAACTCTTACAAAAGAGCTAGGGTCCCAGACCACCCTGAAGCTTCATGAGACTTCACCTTGTCTGACCAACTCTGGAGCCCAGACTGTTGCTTCCCACTCAGTTGGTAATCCTCCATAGTCTGATGAGGGTAAATATACACACACACACACACACACATATATATATATGTATGTGTATCTTTTCCCGTCTCCTCTTCTTACTGCAGTTTGCTTATTATATCAATCTGCTTATGATATTTATTTGCTTATTATACCATTTGGTTATTATATCATTAGTTTATTATGTCTGCATTGCTATTGATGTGGGCTAAAGGTTGTTTACCCTTAAAGGTTTTGTGTGTTTGTCTTTTCTTCTCCCCTCTCACATTTCCCACACAGAACATTTTTGGCGTCACAAACAGGATTCGAAAACAAAACTGTGCCCCTTTTTGACCAGAAGGACAGGGCTGGAGGCTCCGAGACTTCCCATATCCTGGGATGAGATCTCTCCCAGTTCTCCCTCTTTGTGATTGAATGGTCCAGGGGAACTGGCCTTTGAGGGAATTAGGAATCTAAATTAGTACAATTTAAACCGTTGACTGTGTATGAAGTGCTGCAGGGGATTCCGGTCACCAAAAGAGATGCTGAGGGATCTCCCAAAGTGGATGGTGTTTGATTGCTGCTTATAAGTTAATGTATCAAGATAGGGGCTGGTTGCTACAAGAGAAATGTAAGCTGGAAAAGGAAAATGCTCACCTGACTTCCAGACTGGCCCTGGCCCAATGCCAGTCAATGTCTTGACTGATCAGGCTCAAAGCTATCAGCCTATTGCTGAAAAAAGCAGCTGTCCAGGTGGCCTGGTCAGGGTAAAACTGAAGAACTAGTCAGTTGGGGCTTGGAGCAGATAAAAACCCAGGTCCTATCTCAAAAATGGGAAATTAACCCTAGTAAAATTCAAGGACCTGCACAAAAATGTAAAATTCTTTGGCATCCTATGGAATGCAAAGAAATAGTCCACTTTACCAAAGGCTAAGGCTAAAATACTATAATTTGCAACCCCCATTACTAAGAAGGAGGCCCAGAAACGTATTGTCTTGTTTAGATTCTGAATACATCATATTCCTTACTTGGGTAACATTTTACAATCTTTGCATGCAGTCACTAGAAATAGGTATGACTTTCAATAGGGAGAGAAAGAGAGCATGGCTTTTGAACAAGCTAAACAAGCAGTGCAACTGGCCCTGGATCTATGGTCCATACAGGATAGGCCAGACAAACTGTGAGTAACAGTCCTAGATCAACATGCTAATTGGAGCCTGAGGCAGAAACAAGATGGGAAGAGGGTACTTTTTATGTTTTGGACCCAGAAACTGCCAGAGGCCGGAAAAGCTTGTACCCCTTTCAAGAAGCAATTGTTAGCTTGCTATTGGGCTTTGCTGGAAATGGAATACTTCTGCTTCAACCATGATGTCTTTATGAGGCCTGAAATTTCTTTTTTTTTTTTTTTTTTTTTGAGACAGAGTCTGGCTCTGTCGCCCAGGCTGGAGTGCAGTGGCCGGATCTCAGCTCACTGCAAGCTCCGCCTCCTGAGTTTTCACCATTCTCCTGCCTCAGCCTCCCGAGTAGCTGGGACTACAGGCATCCGCCACCTCGCCTGGCTAGTTTTTTGTATTTTTTAGTAGAGATGGGGTTTCACCGTGTTAGCCAGGAGGTCTCTATCTCCTGACCTCGTGATCCGCCCGTCTCGGCCTCCCAAAGTGCTGGGATCACAGGCTTGAGCCACCGCGCCCGGCCGAGGCCTGAAATTTCTATTATGACTTGGGTCATGAGTTCCCCCAAAACCCACCAGGTAGGGCACACCCAGAAAGTAGCATCATAAAATGGAAATGGGACATACAAAACCAGGCTAAGCCAAAACCAAAGGGGGTACCACTTTTACATGAGGATGTGGAAAACTTGCTAGCTCAGGAAACCACCAAGTGAGTCCTGCACATAGGGAAGGAAACCTCCCCCACACACCAAATGGGACAAATCCTTTAAATAACTAAGCCCAGAGGATCAGAAACATGCTTGGTTTACTGATGAATCCATGAAATACATTGGTGGGACCCAATGCTGGAAGGCCGTGGCTTATAATCCTGTTAAAAACATAAACATTTCTGGCCGGGCGCGGTGGCTCAAGCCTGTAATCCCAGCACTTTGGGAGGCCGAGACGGGCGGATCACAAGGTCAGGAGATCGAGACCATCCTGGCTAACACGGTGAAACCCCGTCTCTACTAAAAATACCAAAAAACTAGCCGGGCGAGGTGGCGGGCGCCTGTAGTCCCAGCTACTCGGGAGGCTGAGGCAGGAGAATGGCGTAAACCCGGGAGGCGGAGCTTGCAGTGAGCTGAGATCCGGCCACTGCACTCCAGCCTGGGCGACAGAGCGAGACTCCGCCTCAAAAAAAACAAAACAAAAAAAAAAAACATAAACATTTCTGATGAAGGAAGGGGTGGGGGCAGCCAGTTAGCTGAACTAGTAGTAGTTCCTCTGAGATGTTCAGGAGGAGGCCAGAGGAATTTGTCACTTTTGTACCAACTCTTTGTCAGTAGCAAATGGTCTTACCACCTGGGTGCCCCAATGGCAATGAAACAAATGGTTAAAGGGGAATAAAGAGGTTTGGGGAAAACTATACTGGTAAGGTATCTGAATCCTGGTGCACACTACCGTCATCACTGTGTTCCATGTATTTTTTGTTGTCGTTGTTTGTTTTTGAGATGGAATCTAGCCCTGTCACCAAACTGAAGTGTAGCGGTGCAATCTCTGCTCACTGCAACCTCCGCTTCCAGGGTTCAAGTGATTCTCCTGCCTCTGCCTCCCAAGTAGCTGGGATTACAGGCACGGTCAGCCACACTCAGCTCATTTTATATTTTTTTTTATATTTATTTATTTATTCTAGGTGTAGTTTCACTCTTCCATTAGGCTGGAGTGCAGTGGCACAATCTAGGCTCACCACAACCTCCATGCCCCAGGTTCAAGCAATTCTCCTGCCTTAGCCTCCCGAGTAGCTGGAACTATGTAAGGCACACACCACGATGCCCAGCTAATTTTTGTACTTTTTGTAGAGATGAGGTTTCACCATGTTGGACAGGATGATCTCCATCTCTTGACCTCGTGATCAGCACGCCTCAGCCTCCCAAAGTGCTGGGATTGGAGGCGTGAGCCACCGTGCTCAGTTAATTTTTTAATTTTAGAGACCGGGTTTCACCATGTTGGCCAGGATGGTCCCATTCTCTTGACTTCGTGATCTGCCCACCTCAGCCTCCCAAAGTGCTGGGATTACAGGCATGAGCCACTGTGCCTGACCCTGTTTTCCATGCTGATGCTCACACATTTCTGCTTTCTCTTAACAGACTATTTAATCAGCAGGAAGATCAACAGGCAGAAATTTCCAACATAACTGAGATCTTGAATGCGGGTAAATGGATTACAGTTTAAGCCTCGCAATGAGAGGCATTACAATGTATGGTGGTATAATTGATAGCTGGGTGGGGGTGGGGGCTCCCCAGGCCCATGTGGGTGTCAGGTGGGCTGTGGCACCACACTGCTCTTCCTTCCTCTTCATGGGTCACACCAGCCACCTAGTCAGTTCTGATGAGAGAACCTGGATACCTCAGGTTGTGGTGCAGGATACACACACTATTATTGTTCTTTTTTATGGGATGCTGCTTCTCGTCAGCAATCTTGTCCTTGCCCCCACCAATTTTTATTTGAAAGTCTAACAGAATTCAGCTGTGAATCCACATGGTTCTGAACATTTTTGTTTTGGTTGGCAATTTTTAAAAATTATTATTTCAATCTCACTTCTTGTTATTAGTCTGTTAAGAGTTGTTGTTTTTTAATCTAGGAGGGTTGTACATTTTCAGGAATTTATTCATCTTCTTTAGGTTTTCTAATTTGTGCACATGGAGGTGTTCACAGTCACCCTGAATGATCTCTTGTATTTCTGTGGCATGGGTTGCAATATCTTCTGTTTCATTTCTAATTGAGCTTATTTGGATCTTCTCTCTTCTTGGTTAATGCTGTTAATGGTCTATCAATTTTGTTTATCTTTTCTAAGAGCCAGGTTTTCATTTCATTTATCGTTTGGATTTTTTGGCTGTTGTTGTTTGTTTCATTTAGTTCTGCTCTGAGCTTTGTTATTTCTTTTCCTCTGCTGGGTTTGGGTTTGGCTTGTTCTTGTTTCTCTAGTTCCTTGAGTTGTTATCTTACACTGTCAACTTATGCTCTTTCAGACATTTTGATAGAGGAAC